TACTCTGCAGGTGATGAGCAGTGCCTGGTTTTCTTGAAAATTATGCTTGGAATTGAGCTTCATCAGACCAGAGTCTTGTTTCTCACAGTCTGAGGGTCCTTTAAGGGCTTTTTTGCAAATTCCAAGTGTGTTTTCATGTGCCTTCACTGAGGAGAGGATTGCGTTTGGCCACACAGCCATAAAACACAGATCGGTGGAGTGCTGCAGTGATGTTTGTCCTTCTGTAGGTTTCTCCTGTCTCCACATATGATCATGGTGCTCAACTAGAGTGACCATCAGGTTCTTGTTCATCACTCTAACCAAAGCCCTTCTCCATCAGTTGCTCAGTTTGGCCAGCTCTAGGAAGAGTCCTGGTTGTTTCAAACTTCTTCCATTAAGGGTAACAAGAGACTACATGCTTCTGTGACCCTCCAATGAAGCAGAATTTTTTCTGAACTCTTCCACAGATGTGTGGCTTGTCGCAAACTTGTTTCTGAGCTCTACAGGCAGTTCTTTTTACCTCAGTGCTTGGTTTTTGCTCTGATATGCATTATCAGCTGTTAGACCTTTTATTAAGGTGTGTGTGCCATCCCAAATCATACCCATTCAATTGAATTTGCCACAGGTTAACTTCACTTGACGTGTAGTAACATTTACAAGCAATATGAATGCTCCTGAGCTAAATTTCAACTGTCCCAGATAGGTGTATGGAGTGTAGATTGATGTGGAGAAAAAGTCATTTAAAGCAGTTTATCATAAGGCAGCAAAATAACAAAATGTGAAAAAAAATGAAGGGGTATGAATACTTTCGCAAGGCACTGTATATATATATATATACACACACACATTAGATGTCCAAGAAAGCATGCACAGAGCACTCCCTTTATAATCACTAAAAAGCTGTCACTCATTTCTGTTAAAATCAATGAAGCTCTCTACAAAGCACAATGAATCTTTTATTTACATTGTGTCTATACTTTGTTATAATGACAGGATCCGTGAGCTTGCTTAACTAAGCATTGGCCATTGCGTTCATGAAATCAACAGATATGTCTGTAATTGGCCACAATACTCAACGCTGCAAAAACACGTTGTAAATAGAAACCTTTGAAGCGCTCCAGAGTGCAAATAAATACACACTGGAATCTGCCCTGACGCAGTTGCCGCTTACACTCGTTTTGTTGTTTATGCTTATTGTGTTATTAAAGTTATGTTTGGCAGTTCCCGCCGCCTCCTTCCATGTGTCTTGAAATTTGTTACATACATATATATGTATGTAACAAAGTTCATGTGTGTATATATATATATATATATATATATATATATATACACACATTTACCTTAAATCATCCTGGAGACCCATTTTTTAAGTCTTGCAACCCTCGTAAAAACCACTGGTATATACTGTCATAAGTCTGGGGTTAGTAAGTATTTTGAAAGAAATTAATTTATACTCAGCAAAGACACATTAAATAAAGACTTTTAATTTGTTACAAAAAAATCTATTTAAAATAAATGCTGTTTTTCAGGTCTTTATCTAAATCAAATAATCTAATAAAATATTAAGCTGCACAACTGTTTTTTGACATCGATAATAACAAAAAATGTAGAAGTAAACAACTGAAGAAGGAAACTGAAACTGAAGAAGGGTTATTATCGAAAACATTTTTGTTAATTGAAATAAAGCTGAGATAAAACAAAATATAAAGTTGAAGCACTAAAATTACTAACTGGAAATAAATAAAAACTAAAACTGAATAAAAATTGAAAAAAAACAAAAAAAAAAACCTAAAAGAACAATAATAGGAATGACAAAAGCATTTAACAAAACTACAAAATATTAAACTAAAATTAAAATGAAAATATAAAAATAAAAGTTAATTCAAAATATTTAGAACAACTATGCCAGTATACAAATACTTCTAAAATAACACTGCACTGAGGACTGGAGAAATGGCTTTTTTTTTTTTTTAATTGTACTACTATTTCACAATATTACTGTTTTCACTGTATTTTTGATCCAATAAATGCAGCCTTGGTGAGCATAAGAGACTTCTTTTAAAAACAGTTACCGACCCCAAACTTTCAAACAGTATACTGTTTTAATGAGTATTTATTAAGAACAGTTTCTGTAAGCTTATTGTTCAGGTAACCTTGAGGAATGCGTCAAAGCGTGACTGATCTCCTGCGAGGTGGGCCAGGTAGGAAACAAAGCAGAAGCCTTTCTCATAGGGTGTTTCATTGTAGGTATCATCAGGATCGACACCTGCAATAAAAAGACACAGAGGCAGTTACTACCAATTCTTTACAATTATCAATAAAAATAACAAAGTTATGCGAGACTGCCATCTTTTTTCTGCTTACAATGTCAAATTAAACAGACAATAATCTAGTGGTGACCTACCTGGTTCAATCTTAACCCGTAGTTTATTGAGAGGATGGTCCTCTCCAGTGTTGTCCATGTGTTGACGTAGAAGAGCTTTACCAGTGGCTGCCTCCAGACACGTATAAGCCTCTCCTGAGAATGAAATGGTACTTTTTAACGAATTCTTTATTAGTGAAATATTAAGGGTCAAATAACGTATGGCTTACCATACAGCTCCCTGCAAAGCCTGCGCTGAGCGTACATGGTGAAACCCTCGTTCAGCCAGAAATCACTCCAGGTGGCGTTGGTGACGAGGTTTCCAAACCAGCTGTGGCAGATCTCGTGTACAATGACGTCAGCGAGAGAACGATCGCCGGCCAGCAGACAGGGTGTGACAAAGGTCAGGCAGGGGTTCTCCATCCCACCGAAAGGGAAGGATGGAGGCATGAACAGCACATCATATCTAAACGATTACAACAATTCAAAAACATGTCTATTGTAATGTAATAATTATGTAGTTCACTGAAGCCGTTCAAAAAAAGCATATCCCACCTTCCCCAAACGTAGGGTCCAAACAGTTTCTCTCCCACAGACAGGAACTCTTCGATCACATTATCATACTCCTGCTTGGCTGCCTGCAGTAAACAAGGCTCGGTCCAGACACGTGTCCTGAAAATGCAGTTAAAAGTGTTTATTATAATAATCATCATTTTTATTTAAATGATTACTTTATAATAGGGTCCACATATAATGTTAGTGGAGTATTTTTGCACTAAAAGCATATAATTTAGTTTTTACATGAACATTTTCAACAACTGCAGCTTAGCTTGGTCTGTTTTTGGCCAATTAACTCTTTTATTCCAAAGGAGCAATAAAGACTTCATGCCTTATGATGTAACTTCTTTATGGTAAAAGATTTGGGATTTTTTTTTTTTTTTACCTGGGTCCCACCTCAGCAGACTGCAGGTCCCCTACTGCCAGAGCTACCAGGTAAGCTGGAATGGGACGTTCCATGGTGAACAGGAAAGCGCTGTCTGCTTGCCTCTGTTCCCATTTACTAGCGCTCATAACTGCTGTGAAGCCATCAGGGACCTGATCATAAGAGTGAGGAGTGAGGAACATCAAAGAAAGAAGCTACTGTGTTTATGAGACAGTTCAAAGTGCAATGATAAGAAATCAATTGTGTAGGCTGAACTGGATCTGATCATTCTTGTGCTTCTTTCTTTCTTGAGAATCTGATCTGAGCCTATTGCTGACGAAAAAAATAGTTTATGAAATCCAAAATAAATACTGACCAATAATACATTTTAAAGATGTTTTTGACCAACCTCATTTTATAATATATTATTTACTTATACATTGCAATTATTATATACTGTTCAGCAGTTTGGGGTCTGTAAGATTGTTTTTTTTATATTTTTGAAAGAAGTCTATGCTCACCAAGGTTGGATTTATTTGATCAAAAATGCATTACATTTTGTAACAGCAATGTTTTTCAATCTTATTACAATTTAAAATAAATAACAACTATTTTAATATATATATTTAATATATCCAATCAACTCCTGATTATTAAAATCAAATCCCACCCTCCTAATTGAACACGTTGTTCCTAATTGATCATCTTTCTCTTGGAAAGACATGAGATTTTATAATTGGGATGCAAACTATAATGTCTGTATCTTGTTTATATCTGTAAATCTGACCGGCCCAAAGGCCTCACCTGAACTGTTGCTGAGTAGGTGCTCTTGACTGCTGGAGTATCAAAGCAAGGGAAGAAGGAGCGGTTGAGAACAGCCTGGCCTTGAGTAAAAACATAAGGCTTGAGCTTTCCCGCAGTCTGCTCTGGTTCCAGCCAACACACCTATAAGAAGATTCATGCGTTTGGTGAGACATTACCTGCACAACAGCCGAGTAAGTGCTCTTTGTCATGGGTGTATGGAAGCCGGGAAACAGGCTGCGGTTCAGGACAGGGAACCCAGATGTGTACAAGAATGGCAGCGTCTTCTCAGCCGTCTGCACTGGGTCCAGCCATGACATCTACAGAGAAGTGATGCACGCTTGCTTGTACAATAAATGAATGACTTTGGCATTATCAGTGCTGATCTGAAGACTGAAAGTGACTAAAGGCTGCTTGGAGAACAAGTTCAGAAAGAGAAACCTAAGTATTCTTCCTCCTAGGTCTCATGACGCTTCAACAAGTTTCAGTTTTGATCACAATGAATTGCTCAGGCAGTTGTGAACCATCAAGATGGGAATTAATGTGAACAAAAAATATTAAAAGCAGCTTGCATGCTTACCCCTGGTCCATCAGAAGCTGTATATTTGATTGCAAGCTGAAGTTTGTCATCTGAGTTGAAAGGCGTTGGGAACTTCACGACCAGTGTTGTCCCATAATTGGTGAAGTCTCGAATCAAAAATTCTGTTGTGGTCCAGTCACGTGAATTATGACTGAATGTGATCTCATGCACAGACAGTGTTGGATGAATATCCAGCTGTAACTCACTTTGACCATCCTGAGTGCACTGTAGCTGTATTGTTTCGGTACCTGATATGGTTTTCCGCTCAAAGTCCACTTTAAGATCGAGATGAAAATGTTCTATTTTAAACTGGCGGAAACTAGAGGAGGTAGCGACGTCTTCGGCTTTGTCTGAATACAGCGTAAATGTTTTATCCATTGTACTACTACTGAGTGACCAAAAATCTACAGCTACACCGGTAAACGGCGGCCAGTCTGTTCCTGCACTCACGAATGACAAGTGAACGGTGATAAAACAATCGAAGCGCTGGAAGACTATAATAGTTATAGCATGTGGATGGGATTTACGCTATACTTTTCTGCGTTATTGCAGGGCAGTGTTGTTTGTCGTAAAGACATGACAGGTGACCAATAAGAAAAAACTGTTTCACACATACTGAAATGTTACTACTTAAAAACTGTTATCTGTTATTCATATAAGACAAATACCCGTCTTTGTCAAGTGGGCACCAGGGCTCAGATAGTCAAATTCTCTTTTAAAGCCACTTTCAAATCTCAGGACTTTGTCTTATTGTATACATTTTATATTACAATGTACAGTATTTAAAATATATTAATTAAAAGGATTGGTATCTCACATCCGAATGAAACCCCTCCCCACCAATTTTTATAAAACGTGAAAGAAATTCATAATTCCGTAAACAGTGATAATGCAGTAATCACTGTGATAGACTGATCCACAACAGCGGTGACAAATGTAACAGTTGCCACGTGACAACCCCGTACCTACTTTAGCTGTCTGAATTTAAATGTTCTCGAATATTTAAATGGCTACTGAACTTTTTTCATTAAGAACCCATACTATAAGCAAATCTGTCTATTATAATGGTTACTACGGTGGCCGAGAAGTGCTAAACAAATCACAATTCTGAAATCAAAATAACAAATTACAAACGCAAATGCAAGTCTAAAAAACAAAATAAAAATTCAGAAAGCACAACAACAATTCAGAAAACATTATAACAAGTCAGAAAACACAATGACAAATTCGAAAACAAAATAACAAGTCAGAAAACACAACAACAAATCCGAAAACAAATTTACAAGTCAGAAAATACAAGGACAAATCAGACAGACCGGAAAAGGTAGGTATAGTTTGAGACAGCGCCATTGGTTTGGGATTACTCACCGCTGACTGGACGAGACATCTGTCAATCAACGTATACAGGGAAGAACCAGCCGAAGAACAGCAGAGTCGTGGTAGAAAGTTCGGAGATGGTATTAAAGTAGCTCAGTTTAAATGTATTGTATGAATTGCCCTTACTCTGGAATAAAAAATACGGAGTGTCTATTTACATTTAGTTAAAAGTGGCTGTAAGTCATTAGCTCCAGTGGTGCAGATGGATAAGTGTCTGCCGTTAGCTTTTTGACGCGATCGACCCGCGTTCCGTGAAAAAAAAACTTTTTTTTCTCCCTTTTCAAATCTCGTATTAGCAATGGATTCTATTTACACTAAGTGAAAATAGCAGTATTTTTAGCAATATGCTATTTACACTAAGTGCAAATACCTATTTACACTATGTTAAAATAGCAGGATTTCTACTATCAAGTATACTACTTGTTGCAAATAGTGGCAATTATCTGCACTTCAGTATTGTAGTACATTATAAAACAGTATGCAATAATAACGTATTGAGTGTAAATTATAATTTTAATTTTAATTATTAAATGGATGCCACCTTATTGGTACAATAAAGCCCTCCCTACACCTACCCAAACCCTACCCGATACTTTATTTTCAACTTTTTGATTATTTCCTTAATTTTTATTGAAAATAAATGCCTTTACGATGTGATACGAGATTTGAAAAGGGAGAAAAAAAAAGTTCGGCAAAAGGCGGGAACGAACCCGGGTCGATTACAATAAAGCCCTCCCTACACATACCCTAACCCTACCCGATACTTTATTTTCAACTTTTTGATTATTTCCTTAATTTTTATTGAAAATAAATGCCTTTACGATGTGATACGAGATTGAAAAGGGAGAAAAAAAAAGTTCGGCAAAACGCTGGATCGAACCCGGGTCGATCGCGTCAAAAAGCTAACGGCAGACACTTATCCATCTGCGCCACTGGAGCTGATGACTTACAGCCACTTTGTTATTTTGATTTCAGAATTGTGATTTGTTTAGCACTTCTCGGCCACCGTAGGTTACCCTTTATAATTGCGCGTTTTCAGTGTTGTGTTTTTCATCCAATTCTTGATTTTCAAGAATGATTCTGTGATCATGTCACCAAAATCATTGTGAGGTGATTTAATAAGTTTAAAATATTTCAGAAGATGTTTTATTGCACCAATCAGCATTTATCATCTGGAAATTTATATTTGTTTTTAGAGCAACCATTTACAGTGAGTCACCATATATACAAGTCACTGTAATAACTAATCAGAAAGAACATTGATTACATCATATGGACAATCTTTATTCATATAACTTTATTTTTCATCTTAGTATCGACACACACTAACCAAATAACATTAAAAAACACTTAGTAACAAATTAGACTTAATTTCATCGTACAAAAAAATCAATAGGTAAGTTAATCTATACATACTCTATATAAAAAAACTATAAAACACTTTTTAAAAATTGTCTTTCACAGTAATACTCTCAAAAATTTTGGGACAAGGCATTTCATAGAAAATGATGACTGTCTTGACATATCCCTATTTTTGTTCGATGTTAAAAAAGTCTATACTTTAATCTATCAGCCTTTAATCCATCATCTTAATAAATTATTGAATAAATACGGCTGTTGTCAGAAGGGTGTCCATGGTTTCACACCTGGCTGGCAACCTCAGAGTCATCCTCATACAACCTGTCTGGAGTCCTCAGAATGACCCGTTTCTGGGATACCTGGAGGAGCAAAACAAGAAGAAAAGCGGTCAGTCCATAGGGAAATTTGTTTGCACTGGTTTCTAGTAACCCTTGACTGTTGATAGTCTTAATATTAAATGAAACTCAGGAGTGACTGCACAATTTGCCGCTCTGTGATGTTGTCTGAAGGTGTCATAAATCTGGCCTGGGTTACACAACAGCTGCTGGGTCTTAAATCATGGAGCACACAGTGTATTCTTACAACTAGAAAGGCCATTATGGAATGGATTAGATTGTATCTGCAGAATTTTATCCCATTTTATCCCAATATTTTCTAAACTACAGAGTCAGTGTGTTAAAGCATAGATTAACAGGACAGGAGACAAGTGTCTTTCATTTTGCTAAAGTTTCTCAGATAATAAGATATTTGAGCAGTAGTCTTTAAGACTAAGTCCAGCTGCCTCTGAAACACATGACTCTGTAAATCATTGCATGACATGATATTGGAATGAAACAAATGTGTCTCGGGCAGTGCTGATGTTCCCACATATAATCTAAATATCTTCAAAGGGACGATCCGAAACCAAATGACTAAATTAACCAACCAAATGCATCTGCAAGTTTGTGGTTTTGAATTCCTGTGGTTTCTGTAAAGTTTAAAAATGAGTGAATATGTGTCATCTCATTGCACAACCCAAGTTCCTGAATTTACTTGAATCCTGAAGGCATTCGTACTCCAACCTAAATTTATTCAGCAGGGAATTTTCAATAATTTGTTATGTGACTTGTTGGTACATGTATACTGCATTCTTTAGGTGTCTGATTGCGCATTTTTGACTGTAGTGTAAATTACCTGACTCCCACGCAAATAACACTGGCACCCACGGTATGTTTTGAGAAACAGTTTCTGTATGGGAATGATTTAAATCAGTAGTTCTCAAATGATGTGTCGCAACTCAAATATATGTTCTGATTGGGCCATAGCCATCAATGGGCGGGGGGTGGGGGGGGACAAACAATTGTGTCTGAATATGCCTACTTTCATACTATATGGTAGGTGAAAAACAGTATATGAACAGAGTAGTATGTCTGAATTCATAGAATTCGAAAAATACAGATGACCTACTACTTCTTATTACTATTCAGTCTGTTAATATTTTTCCATATTGTTAGGCTTATACATAAAATACAAGTTCTTATAAGTTCTTTTTTATTTCATTGTTTAATTGTGTATAATAAACAATTTTGATGCTGTTTTACGGCACCAAATCTAGGTCCCGAAGAAAAACTACTGACATAGTCTGCTGAATATAATTTTTTATGGTAATGGAAAACGTCTCAGGTTACTTGTGTAACCATGGTTCCCTGAGGGGAACGAGACACTGCGTCCTCTAGGGGTCGCTATGGGGAACGCCTCGTCGTGACCCGTGTCTGAAGCCTACATTGAAAAAACACCAACTTGTTTGGCCGGCGACAGCCATGACGTCACTACCGTCGCGACTAGTACAAAATAGGCGCCGGTAGCGCACATCATTCACTTCTTCGTCTGAACCTTGCGTCCGAAGCATGGCAAGAAAGCTAGAGGACGCAGTGTCTCGTTCCCCTCAGGGAACCATGGTTACACAAGTAACCCGAGACGTTTTATTTACAACTTTAAATTACATTTATTTATTTATTATTATTTTATTTTTTTTAAGTGTATTTGTGTTCTGTTTCTCGTGAACCCTCACGTGGTTTATTTTATTTATCAGGAATTTATTTTCCACAAAATGCTAGTTAATGTTAAAAATCTTGTTGACAGGGGTGCATATATAGGTCTTGTTCTCATGAGAGCACCTGGAGACCAATTAAATATAAAATAATTAATAAAAGTATTATTGCACTTTATTTAGTTTAGTTTATTTTTAAAATAAAATAAACCAAATAATAAATAGAGATAATACTATTATATTTTACAATAAAAATGAGTATTAAATAAAAATATTTCTTCTATAGTACACTTAAAAATGCAATGCTTTTTTTTTCAAACCTAAAATCAACAAACAACGCATAGATCGTGTGAATCATCGGGTGTCAGGAACCGCTGACACGGATGTACACACTTTCTAAACGCTTCGCTAGTGCTCGCCATAGTAGGAAAGAAAAAGCTCTTACTTTGCTTTTTGGAATGCACGCTTCAAACAGACCGGTCAGTGAAGACGAAGAAGAGAATGATGTGCGCTACCGGCGCCTATTTTGTACTAGTCGCGACGGTAGTGACGTCATGGCTGTCGCCGGCCAAACAAGTTGGTGTTTTTTCAATGTAGGCTTCAGACACGGGTCACGACGAGGCGTTCCCCATAGCGACCCCTAGAGGACGCAGTTCGAAGTTCCACGAAAGGGAACTTCAGTTTACTAGTATTCCAATTAGTAATGGATTCAAGTGAAAAGCATTAGGTCTTTGGGAATCATCCTTCTGACATCTTAACAAAGGACTTTAGTTTGATGAGTGACACCACAGCGTATGCTCAGGTTTACTGATGTATTCTTGCCACCTTATGTACAATCAAATTCAATGCCAAGCAATGGGAAAAAAAGAAGTTAACAAAGACACCTATCGGTTTCAGCTGGGAACATGCCAACTATCAAAATGTTGCTTGAGGAGATACTAAAGTTGGAGTAGAAGTGGCCAAACAACTTATCTGGCTTTCTCTAGAGAAATAAAGGAGCTAATGGGCCGGGTCGCTATCACCATTTCCTTCCGTCCAATCAAGCTTTCGTCCCTGAGAAATGGAATGCTCATCGACATATCAAGTTCACACAGTGTAGCCACCGAAAGCTTGAATGGAAATAAACAGCAGAACAACCTTGACTGCATATTTTCCCACTAGACTGTTGTGTTAATGGGAAAGTTCATGACCGTGAGGAATGAGGAAAAGCTTTGAGCAGAATGAAAACCTGTGTGTGACAATACAAATAAACTCAAAGTAAGCAAATGATCCATCTGATGAAGTATTTGTGGCAGAGTATGTGAGTGGAATGGAGTATGTAATCACACACCACTCCACAATTATAATTGCACCCAGTTACCGTTCTTTTAAAACGTGTTTTAATATTATGATATATCAGGAGAAATCACGTTTGCACAGTTGCTGTACTGTTGTGAGGATGATGTGTTAGTATGATGTTATAATTCAGGGGTCTCCAACCCTGCTCCTGGAGAGCTACCGTCCTGCAGATTTAAGCTCTAACCGCTCTAACCCCAATCAAACACACATGAACCAGCTAATCAAGGTATTCAGGGCTACTTGATAATTATAGACTGGTGTGTTGGAGCTGAAGTCTGCAGGACAGTAGCTCTCCAGGAGCAGGGTTGGAAATCCCTCATATAATTTTTGTAAATTATGTAAAGTTCCTATGCCACAGCTTCCATGATTTTTCCAGTTGTTTGTGGTTATAGATAAAATGTTTATGATTTTACATAGATTTCACTCACGAACAGCAATTTCTAACAATTAAGTATATTTTAGCATAATTAGCATAATAAGAACACATATTCACTATAGAAATGTCCATGACTGTCTTTAAAGGCTGGGACACACCAAGCTGATCCTATGAACTCCAGTGACATTTCCAGCAAAGCTCAATTTTAAAATTCCCTGATATTTCCAGTTTATCCATGATCGTGGGAAACCTGACAGACTACACATCTGAGAGGAGAGAGTGACGTGTTACCCATCATTAGATTTTATTTCCTTATACTGTATGACAGAGCATCTCTTCTTTAATTTTCTGTAATTTAAAAAAAAATACATTTGTATAAATTTTTTTTTCACAGTAAATCTGTAGTCATTCATACTCTGTCATTAATTTTCATTTAACATTTTTGTTTTTGATCATGTTTCCAACTGAATTTCACAAATTCCATCTTTATTTATTTTTGACTGGTAATAAATAGCCTAAGATGAATTTTTGTTAACATGCAACTGTTTTATTTATTAATGTATGTATTTAATGCTCCAAATGGAGCGGTAACAGAGCGTTCTTTGAATATGTGAGAACACGGATACTCCTCATACTCACATACACTACCATTCTTAATATTTTATTTCAGCAAGGATGCATTAAATTGGTCCGAAGTGACAGTAAAGACATTTATAATGTTACAAAGGATTTATATTTTAAAGAGAACTTTCTATTAATCAAAGAATTCTGAAAAAATGTATCATGGTTTCCACAAAAATATTAAGCAGCACAACAATAATTTTCAACACTGACAATAAGAAATGTTTCTTGAGCACCAAATCAGCATATTAGAATGGTTTCCGAAGGATCATGTGACACTGAAGCCTGGAATAATGCTTTGCCATCACTAAATTTGCATTTTAAAACATTAAAATAGAATTTTTTTTTAAAAAATTTTATTGTAATCATATTTAACATTATTACTGTTTTTTTTTTGTTATTTGTATTTTTGATCAAGTAAATGCAGCCATGTTGAACATTAGAGACTTCTTTAAAAACATTTTAAAACTCTTACAGTCCCCAAACTTTTGAACAGTAGTGTGCACTGATTTACAGCATTGTGTTCTAATGTCTCTGGGCAACCATAAACAAAATGACAATTTTGAGTTGTGAGTGGTTTGCTATTGTGCCATTCCCTAAACTAATTCCAATCAAAAGCTCTTTTATATCTGAACACCACACCTAGATCCAGTAGTGATCTCACTTTGACGCAGCAAGAACACCAAGCGAACCTTTCCCTGTTCCTCAGGCAGGCCTGGGCAGTGCGTAACTGATCTGCCTTTTCTGGAAATTCCTCTCCCAACAGACTGATACTTGACAGAAAGGTGATACAGCTCTATTCTATTTCATAAAGAGCCAAGATAGTTACACATTTGGAGCTTTTCCTTTCTCTTTGCAGGTCAATACATTTTCCGCACATTTATTCTGAGTGACTGAGAGGAACAGCAATTTACCTGCTGTTCCTGGAAACGGTGGTGCTGGGAAAGCGAAAGCGGTGACTCGGGGATGCGGAGCGTGCCCTGCCTGTCCCGGTCCAGTGAGTGCGGTCGAGGCAGTCGGAGTTGGTTGCGCTGGTGCCATGATTTGAGTTCCTCTGACACCACCTGCCGTGGCAGGCCTCTGCTAGGATGGTGAGAATACTCTCTCAGCGAAGGAGCCCGTGACAGTTTCACGTGGGCGGGTAACAACCTGCAACTTCGCTGCTGGGAAGGCATAGCCTCGCTATAGTAGTACTCATAGTGACCATTAGAAGAATAAACAGGCGAAGGGGCCTGGTGGCTTATGTACAACCTCCCACTGTCCCTTTCCAAGGGGTGACCCCATCCGTCCTCCACGTACCCCCTGGAAAAGCTCGGTGAGGACTGGTACTGAGGGTTCTTGTAGAAGTGGGTAGGGGAGCATCTTTGTGGTACATGGCTGTCATTGAGACTGGCGTATTGGTATCCATACTGGGGTTGGTAGGGCCACGGAAGTTCCCCAGGGTGCTCCTGGCAGGGCGAGCTGGCGAAGGACTGCACAGAGTGCTCTGAGTTGCTGTCCTCAGAACTAGTGTAGTACAAAGGGTTTCCAACATTTAGACTTAAAGAAGAGTATTCTGATGGTGTCACCGCAAAGTCTGTCAATCGTCTCCTGGGGCCCCTTGAGCGCCCACGTTCCCGCTCAGGATCATAAGGGTTGGATTCAGTGTTGGGAGCTCTGTTATAATGAGAAATGAATCGATTTGTCAAGATTTGAGATGGCCATAATATCCATAAAACATAAAACAATATCCATGATCTGAAGTGTACACTACCGCTCAAAAGTTAGGGGTCAGTATGAAATTAATATTTTTATAAAAAAAAAAAACAGGAAGAAAAAAAACATACCGTCCGCAAACTTCAGAATGGTAGCGTATATACAAGGTTTGTTTGTAAACTGAGATCAAACCTAAGGGTATGTCTCCTGCGCAGGTGTATCTCTGGAGTGGAGGGTGCGCTGCAGGACTGTGTGTGTTTCAGGGCAGCATGGGTGGGTATTTGCAGTGATATCCCGGCATCCTCAAGACAAACCTCCAGTGGAGGCAACGTGGGGGTAACAGCAGGACTACTGTGCGATGTAAAACAAAAACACTTCCTTTTACAATTATGAAGACAAAACCGAAACAGTACAGCTGTAGTTTTATGACGTGCTCTACTGACAACAATACATCTGTTCCATAAATCAACTTTGAGATGTTTGGCTTAAAGGGATAGTTCACCTAAAAATGAAAATTACCCCATGATTTACTCACCTTCAAGCCATCCTAGATGTATATGACATTCTTCTTTCAGACGAATACAATCGGAGTTATATTAAAAAACATACTGGCTCTTCCAAGCTAGATAATGGGAGTGGATGGTAGCCCAAAATTTGAAGTCCAAAAAATTGAACCAATCCTTTATAAAAGAAGTCCACACGGCTCAGGGGGGTTAATAAAGGCCTTCTGAAGCGACGCAATGCGTTTGTGTAAGAAAAATATCCATATTTACAACTTTATAAACCTTAATCTCTAGCTTCCGCTAACTGTCATACACGCATTCACGAGAGAGTGGCGTCCAGCGGATGACGGAGCACGTAGGCAAACGCGGTGACAAGCGCGGAAGTGACGAACATGGAAGTGCAGAGGAGAGAGCAAAACAAAACACCGGTCACAAATTAGTAGTATAAAATGAGGATTTGTAAAGAAAAATGTCGGAGGATTTCAATATAAGCCAAGAGGACACTGGTTTTCCTTTGCTGTAAACAAAACTTGATTCTCGTGAGACTAGCATATTCTCACCGGAGTTTACACTACGCCTACATAATCCGCTGGACGCCACTCTCTCGTGAACGCGCGTACGACAGTTAGTGGAAGTTGGAGATTAAGGTTTATAAAGTTGTAAATATGGATATTTTTTTTACACAAACGCATCGCGTCGCTTCAGACTGCCTTTATTAACCCCCCCGGAGCCATGTGGACTTCTTTTATAATGGATTGGTTCAATTTTTAGATTTCAAATTTTGGGCTACCATCCACTCCCATTATAAAGCTTGGAAGAGCCAGGATGTTTTTTAATATAACTCCGATTGTATTCATCTGAAAGAAGAAAGTCATATACATCTAGGATGGCTTGAGGGTAAATAAATCATGGGGTAATTTTCATTTTTGGGTGAACTAACCCTTTAACAGCCATTACAGAAGAGGAGGTGTGGTCATACCCACCCTTAAAACTTACTATGATGACTTAATGACCAGCTGAGTCAAAACTGCTTTACAAAGGTCACGGATGACATGCTTTTGACATTTAACACCTGCTTTGCATAGTACAAAATTTAAAGAAAAAAAAGATGTATGTACCTGGATTTGATGCTACTAGAGTGAGATCTTTTCTTTTTCTGATAGGGCTTGTCCAAACTACTCTCCATCCAGGGAGAGTTTTGAATGGGGGCAGGGTCATGCTCTAAGATTGGACTTTGGCATGTGTGCAAGTCCTCCAGGGATTGTGGGGGGGTTTGACGGACAATTTTCATTTTTGGGTGAACTAACCCTTTAACAGCCATTACAGAAGAGGAGGTGTGGTCATACCCACCCTTAAAACTTACTATGATGACTTAATGACCAGCTGAGTCAAAACTGCTTTACAAAGGTCACGGATGACATGCTTTTGACATTTAACACCTGCTTTGCATAGTACAAAATTTAAAGAAAAAAAAGATGTATGTACCTGGATTTGATGCTACTAGAGTGAGATCTTTTCTTTTTCTGATAGGGCTTGTCCAAACTACTCTCCATCCAGGGAGAGTTTTGAATGGGGGCAGGGTCATGCTCTAAGATTGGACTTTGGCATGTGTGCAAGTCCTCCAGGGATTGTGGGGGGGTTTGACGGACAATGGCCTCCAGGGGCCGGTAAGAGGGGACTATAGGTGTATGAGGAGGGGGATTAGAGTTGGTAAGAGGTGGAGGGTGAAGGTCTACAGCAGGGGCAGGAGGCTCTGAAGAAAGCTGGGAAGACAATTCCTCTGAAACATGGATGAGAGAGATTATTTAAATTAACAAGGGTAATTGACAAATAAAATGGAGATTGCCTTTAATTTTTTTTTAAGTAAATAATTATTATATTTTAAATAATTAATAAACAAAATAAAGTCTTTAAATAAATAATATTATACATATATAATATTATTTAAACACTTTTTATATAACAAAAGTTTTCACTTACCCTCATCAAGAACAGCCGAGTCTGACAATGAGCTATCATCTGAAGTGCCTTGATGCAAAGACACAGACAATTGTAAGAACAAGATTTTTAATCAAGCTGATAACTCATTACACAGTGCAAAAAAACACAAAAAATTGAAAAAGTAAGCGCTCCTATAAATCACTCACATCCTCTCTGTGTGATCATGCCAGGGCGTGGTGAGGATCGGCCATGTTCCAGTCGCAGCCTGAACACAGCTTCCTGTAGATCTTTGAGTTTCCTTTCCTCACGCTGGTACTGCTGTAGACGACTCCTCTTCACCGCTTTGCTGAGATGCTCCTCCTTGCACAGTCTCTGGGCCGCCACGTATATCTGCTGCTGAAGAGCCAGATCAGCCTCCACAGAGCTCAGCTCAGAGTCCTGTGTATCATATTCATCAGATTCAGACTTATTTATATGAACTTGATGGGTACCTCAGATGTTTAATGACTTGGAAACAGTCGATTGTTATCCAGATCTTTGTGATTTCTGAAAATAAAGATTAAGTGTCAGTTCAGGTCATTACCTCAGTTCCATGTAGGATACTTGGCTCATCTAATTTAAAAGCAGCTCCAATGCGCCGGCGAATCTGAGGGGGCTTCTCTCCAGGTAACAGAGGATAGTCTGAGGACAAATGTCCTGTGATCTCCTGAAGGAGAAGAAGGAATTGATTAGGGATGAATCGATATTACAATTCTAACTAATAAATGTTTTTTTTAATATTAAAATGCTATACTATTTTGTCTAAATAAGATTAAAATAAAACAGCAAAAACTAAAATCGATCTTTTTAAATTCTACAAGTGAATTTGAAAAATGGATATTAATTTTGGGATTTGCTAAAGACTGCATTTAACAATGTTATTGAATTGTTAGTGCTTCTAAAGATGAACTTTAAGTGGGCGTAAAATGATGCCAAACAATGTAAAAAATAGTGGAAATGAGCAGCACAGTTCAATATAAAATAAAAATCATGAAAATCTGCTGATCTTTCAGACTGGCATTAACTTTTTGTGGCAGTCGAGATCTGTAATTTGTCAATGTAATTTGTAAGTATAATTACGTTAATTACATAGTCAATTAATTAAGTAACAGAACAAAGTCACAAGCAAGTTATCACGAACAGGTCTTTAACCAGAATTCCTGTTTCTCCAGTATGAAACCTTTCAGCGAGTTGGGACAAGTTACAGCTTTCAACCGCTACATTATGCAAGCCTGTTGTTGAAAGATTCGGTTCTTGCCTAAGCCGTACCGAGAGCCCTACCTGCCAAACTAAACCAGCCATCTATTTTCTCCAAATCCATGCCAGCATACGTTTAGATACAATTCTCTTTGAGACAATAAAACCCAAGCCCACAGATTTTTAAAAAGCCACAATAGAGGTGAAGCCCATCAAGAACAGATGGTACACACAACTGGCGTGACTTCAGACTTATTGTGACATAAAGGTGTTATCAGACACTGAAGAACACCTGGACAAGCCACAGCAAATGACTCCAACAGGAAACAATGATGCATTTCTGTGACTTAACATCTTATCCAGAGGACTTCTAGACCACAAAGCCTCTGGCTCTGAAGATGATAAACCTTTGGGTGACTTGCTCACTCAGTCATTAACATGCTTTATTGCATATATTAAATATTCCTGTTGTGTTCTTGAGAGAGGTGGGAATGTTCTGATTAATGACATAAACAATCTTTAAGCATCCTGCAGCATTTGACATGCCTTCTGATGAAGTTATTTTGGGCGGAAAATTAAACTTCAAAAACATGATGGTATCAGCGCACAGTGGAAGTCCCCTCTAATTCCCATGTGAAAACTTCTTTATCTCTCTTCAGGAGTGTTTTGGTGGATCAGTGTGTGTTCATGAGTGTGAACGGTGACTTACGGCCTCTCTGATGCAGAGTTTCTTGAGCTCCAGTAAGCACATCTTCAGCCTGTCCTCCAGAGCTTGCTGCTTGAGTTTCATGACCCGAGTGTGAGTATTCACATCTTTCATCACTGTGGTGGGGCTGTCAAGCCCTACAACACATAAACCACAGCAGGATGAGGAGCAGCTTCAAGATAATAACAGAAAATCAGCAGTTACATAAAGAACTTGTTTTTGCTTCAATAGTAAGTGAGTATAGTCAATATAGATGATATAACTAAAGGTTGTCTGCTCTAAATCATAACCAAATTACGATATAATATAAAGACAAAAAAACCTAATGATGGCAATTTATAATCAACGTTTGAGCGAGGGCATATCTTAAAAACTGGTGTAAACTTTCAGGAAACAAATACTCATCAACACCTATGATATGATCAAAAATGAAAATGAAGGCTATGACTGGTGGTTTCAGTCACTGAAAACGGCTAAATGAGTGACAACAAAGGATTTATTTCTTCTATATCCGGTGACTGGAAACAAATGCCTCTGGCATGTCTGGAGAGCTTATCTACTGAATTCTTGAACATACATTTTCAATCAATCATGTGACAGCACACAAAGAGATAACTGAGCAATGACAAAAAAGAAACGTATGAATGCACAGAAAAAATTTGATTAATAGATCTACATTATGTCCCTTTGTAAGAAATAGACTGGGTTGTTCTAGTTTACAAGGGCTTTTTAAAAACCTGATATAGCGTAGTTGCTTCCGATTCAACCGTTTCACCATTACAGGTGTAATGTACATAATTTTCCTTTTCAGAATTGAAAACTAACAACTAAAACATGCATTACATACATTTTCAAATGTATGTAAAAATTACACTACTGTTAAAAAATGTGGTCATGCTTACCAAGGCTGCATTTATTTGACTTAAAATACAGTAAAAATAAAAATATTCTTACAAAATAAAATATTCTTACAATTGTAAAATATTTTTAGATTTCAAAAAACTTTGTTATATTATTTTTTTTAAATGTTAGATTTTGAAATGTAATTTATTCCTGAGATGGCAAAGCTGACTTTTTCAGCAGCCGTTATTTTCAGCAGCTAGAAGTGTCACATGATCTTTCAGAAATCATTCTAATATGCTGATTTAATGCTCAAGAATTTTTTTTTTTAATTATTACTAATGTTAAAAAGTGCTGCTATTAAAGGGGTCATATGATGTTGCTAAAAAGAACATTATTTTGTGTATTCGGTGTAATGAAATGTGTTTATGTGGTTTAAGATTAAAAAAACACATTATTTTCCACATACTGTACATTATTGTTTCTCCTCTATGCCCCGCCTTTCTGAAACGCGTCGATGTAGGTATGTGGGGGCGTGTTAGAACGAGCCGTTTTAGGTAGGCGTGGTTGACTCTTAACTTTTATAAAGAATATCTCTTTGGATTTGAGACTTTAGTCTTTGCAACTTTACAGATCTTCTTTATGCACCAAGAGCTTGTAACACTCCAAAGAGAAAGGAAAAATTGAAATCGCATCACATGACCCCTTTAAGCACTAAAATATTAAGTGCTGCTTAATATTTTTGTGGAAACTGTGATCCATTTTTTCAGGGATCAGAAAAAAAAATCTTACTGACCCCAAACTTTTGAACGATATATATAAAATAATTTATACATGTTTATTATAAATATATTTTTAAATATGTGCTGTGATTTAAGAACATTTCTAAAAAAAATTTGTTTCTAATCCTTTCACTGAACTATACAAAAGAAAAAAAGTCATACAGGTTTAGAACAACACAAGGGTGAGTAAATGATGATAAAATGATCATTTTTGGGTGAACTGTTTATCTCTTTAAGCTCACAACCACATGCTATATGATACAGCATGCAATATGTCATTATATAGGCAAGGTGTAACAGGCTGAACCTACCAGAATGCAGAATAACCCCACTGTCAGTATCACTGATCTCCTCTTTTCCTTCCATGACGGCCGGTCAAGTGGTCTTTGAAGTGAAAGCCTTGGTTTTCTCTTACTTCACGAGTTCCTAAAAAGTAAACACAACTTTTATCACACTCACCAGAGACCAATTTAGCTGTTCAAGCCAAAGTGAACAAAAACTCGTCTCGTGGAATCACTCAGTCCCTCAGCTGTGACGGGTCTCCTGACCCAGAGCCACAGGGGTCAGAGCGGATTCTGGCAAGCAATAGTTTTCACAGGGCCACTAAAAATCACAGTCTAACTATGCCTCTCAGTTATGTGCCGTCAGCAGGAGCTCAGGGTGAGCTTTAACTAAGAGGCCATTCAAGTAAGTGTTCTTCCTTTAAACATCCATCTCTATCTGAAAAAATTTCCATTTTCCAGGAGGAACAAAGCTGTGCTGTGCTTAGATTACAACACTGGAATGCTCCCAACATAAGAGGTTAATGAAGTGGGCTCACTTGTAATTAATTAACCTTGATTCACTTCTACAACAGTTTCTCAGACTACTTATAGTTAAAAGGAATTGTGATTAGCTACAGACTGGTTTTCACATAACCTATAATTACATTTATGGCAAATGCTTTTATTTATATATTTACATATGTATACGTATATATAGTAACCTAATAGTAACATCTAAATTAACAACTAAATGAACTATATATATTTGCATACAATTATGCAACTATATATATATATTAAAATCTCCTTATAGTCAAAAACAACTCATATATATATATCTTTGTGGCATTTCCCAACAATATGTGCCATCACAGTGCCAAAGTCCAGACCACGACCAGCTTATGACACATATGTTCTCTTCTGTGGTGTAAGACTATGACAAATCCAAGAGTCTCACCGGCTTCCTGTCAGTATGTCAAAATGTTATTCTACGTCATGATGACAATTTCCTGAGTAAGCTGTGAATATCTACAGTAGGAACAATGACTAACAGATGTTAGATATGTTAATAAGGTTTTATTATAATTCATGTTAACAGTTCTACCAGTAATGAATGAAAAATTAAATCCTAACCAGTAGCGTTTATATTTATTTTGGGAATCCATTTTTAATTACAGTTTTATTTCTACATTTTATTATTAGTAATATTATTAAAATATTATTTTTGCTTTGGGCTATAACTTTCAAGTTAACATATCTTAATTTGAGAATGAATGGCTTTAAAAAGTTGGTGTCATTTATCAGTACTCAATATTAAAGAACCGATAACTGATTAAGTAGAAAAATCAGTCAACCCGATGTTTAGAAAAAGCAGATATTAAAACACATTAAACTGACCCACAAAAATGTTACTTGTTAGAATTACAACTGACATATCACACAACCAGTGAGAACATTCTCTAAACAACAAAAAGAGAACACAACTATGTTTGAAAGCATTTAGCTGAGCTTGCATGATACCTTATATGATAAACTGCAGTCATTATCACATAAAAGTACTCACATATTGTAAAACACTGATTCCCTTTAAAGTATAAGTGTATCCATCAGACAAAATCAGTTGATTTCCACGAGATGTCTAGCTCCACACTGCACTCTGACTCTGGATGAGCACCGGAGTTCGTACTGTGAAATGAACCTGGGCGCGTCTTGCGCATACCTCTGTGTGTGTGTTTGTGTTTGTGTGTGTGAGAGATATCACAGTGTCACACCTCTTGTACACACTTGACGAAGGCTATAATAACTCTCCCTGTTGTCTTTGTTATCAGAATGCGCACACACACGTATGTAAGTCGAGACAACATTGAAAATCTTGGACTTAAAATGTAATTCAAACTTGGAAAAAACAATAGGCTTTCCATACTTTAAATAGTTATTCTAAAACCCATGTTAACAGAATCCTGGGTTATATTGCTTCACATTTCACACTGTTCATACTTTACACAAAGTTATCCTCTTTACTCCATTTCACGTGTCTTCTGTCACTGATATTTTTGCCACTCAAAAGCTGAAATTACTGTTTATATAACAAAAGAGCAGGGTTTCATAACCCCATGGAAAAAAACCCATGGCTGCTAACCCTGCTTCTTAATCACAAGTGTGAAATGTTCATTTACCCAGGTGTTAAAAGCGGGGTTTAGAGCGAAGATAACCCGGGGTTAAGGGCAGTGTGAAAAGCCCTCATAAAAGTTCTGAAAGTATTAAACAAAGAAATGCTTAAAAAATAATGAATAAGAAATACTTTAGATTCTTTAATATTTCTGGGTCACTAATCAAAAAAACAAAGTTGTGACATTGATCATGTTAACTCCTTTGTACAGACAGTCAGATGTTTGTCCACTTAAGAACAAGAAGCTCTTTGGATCTTCTGAAATGCTTCAGAATATGATCACCAGGTGCTACACAGACTTGAGAAGTTTATGCAGTTCAAATGTTGCTATTAAAGCAAAAGGGTGAAACAAATGTCTTGAGCATTTTGACATGCATTTTAATTATTTGGTTTAACTTTTCACTCAAATTGGTATGCTGATAAAATAATTTAAAATGGAAAAAGTGTATTAAATGAGAAAAATGCAAAACACAATAATTTTCTCTAGTGGTCTCTAGACTTTTGGACTTCACTGCATAGGCCTTCACAGATCTGTGTTTTAATGAGATCCTGCTGCCGCCTAATGGTGACACTTAGGCCAACACCATTTTTAAACCATTTGCCTATATACTATATACTTTCCACCCCCCAGAGTATTAGTGTCCCAGATTACCCCCAATTCACCATTTGCATTTAAGCTAACCAACTGATTCAAAGATATAACACCAAACAAGCAAACAAACAAACCCCTTGTTCAATGACATACTTTTAACGGTACTATAATGCAAATGCTGTTGTCACACATACAGTTACCTCAGAGAGGCTCTGTGTAGACAATCATTCCACTCCAACATTCTGACCCTATAGGAAACCAACCCACACACAGATGTCTGGGGAAGGCTTCTCCAGAGTACTGTGGGAGACGCTGCACCTGCTGCTCTCATGCACCATTCACATACATTCAGGATCCTTGTTCTCACACTGGCTCTCCAAGAATGCCAGTTAAACGCCTATAGGAGCCACCACGGCTGCCAGACGGGATAGTATCCTATCACCCAAGGAAATACGACTGCTGAGGCATACCAGTATCTGGTTTCACAACTAGTCTACACCATTACTCTGTATCAAAAAAATCTGGCTACCGCTTATAACAAAATACTAGGAATGGGATGGTCACTTTGCATATTTGACTACTCGAACATAAATTTAAATTGATCAAAGCCATGAGCATTATAATTTTTATAGTAAATATGACACCATAATCAATCCCCA